CATGAGTGGGCTTGAACTTGACAGAGTCATTAGAAGCGGTTGATGTAATCTAGCTCTAAAGTGCTACATTGCAGCTTTCTTTGAGGAGTTACGTGGCGATTAAAAAAAAAACATAGCAGTGTGAAGGGACGGAGAAGAGAGAAGGGTAGTGGTGTGACTCGAATCATTTTCATCTCTTGACAAGTAATTATAAATTCGCATTAATTCATGCACATAAGCATTTTTTTTTCCGTTACCTCGTCTGAAGGCTTTCGACGTATCGTTCACTGGAAATACACCTGGACACAACCTGGACACTGGTTTCTTGGCTTCACGTCAAGCAGGACTTCTCTGGATGTTGCGTGACGGCAAAGAATGCTGCCTTTCTATGTACTCACGCGCGAAAACAAACTCGGTATCTAATGAAATGTATGTTAAAGTCGTGATGTGTTGATAACATGGGCTGGCTGATATTAGAATCGAATAAATGCTGAAAGTGGGATCCATACAAACACATTTCATGGCCTGGTCCATAATAAATTACTCTCTCTCCGCTGCCGAATCTCCCCTCCCATCAAGCTACTATTCATAGGATCGTTAAGATCTGGTCGCTATGAAGCTCTAAAATCTTCATGACTTTGCCCGCTGACCAGTTTCCATGCGATCGCGACAGAACGTAAAAGTTCCAGGGGGGGGGGGGGACCTAAAGCAGAATCGCTAAAACGATCGCTACAATCTGTCCTCTGTAGAACTCAGGTCTAGCCCAATGATCGATATGAACGGGGATTTTCCATGAGACCGATCGACCCAAACGATCTCTAAAACGTTTTTCCAATGACTCTAGCCCTCCCCCAACCCACATACACCCAATTTGTCTGGTAGTACCCCTCCCTGCGGGCCCTAGCCACCACATGCACAGAGATCGTTGTTAGATTATTCAATCAGTGTGTTTTCATACAGTGTGCCGTTGGTCTGTAGCGCCTGTGAATAAAAAGCCACAAGAACAAGCCATTTTTGCACGAACTAGTTTGTGTTTACCTTTTCTGTTGACAAAATGGCTCTTTAAATTTTTCTGCAAATTTTAAATTCCTTTTACGTTCACTTTGAATCTAATTTAAAAAAATCATTTTAATTTTATGGAACTGCAATATTACTTTTTACAAAATTCTAGAGTTTATTCCGCCGTCTTAACAATATGTTTTACGATTCAGTGGAATTGTTCAGTGAAAGAAAATTGTTTGGTCATGTTTCGTGCCAGCTAAGCAAAATTGCAGCCAAATTTATTGATTACGAAAGGAATAAAGTCAACACGGTTAAATTTTTTTCGAGAAGGAATTTTTCTATGGAAACACTGACGTCGTTTCCCACCATAATCCCCAAAATAGTGTTACGGTCTACATGTTCAACTTTTCGTCTAGAAAGGAACGGGAAGATTTTTATGTACTCCTTACGCCGTTAAGTGAACCAAGCGAGTCACAGAGCGTTTAAACCGGAAGTTTGTTGATGACGCACTTCAACAACAATAGTAACGTAATGTACATCTGGACAAATTAAATTTACATTTCCCGACTTCCGTCGACGATAGTCACGGTAATAAATAAAGTCGATAACAGACCTTTATTCTGAAAGAAAGCACTCTGTAAAGTTTTATGCGCGCTATATCATGTGAATTTGATTGTGGCAGTGAAGACTGTTTTCATGTCAAAACGTGTCCGTATTCTGAGAAAAATACCTGTGGTTAAACCGGAAGTGGACCAGTTTCTAATGGAATCGAAGCGATATATCCAGTTTCCTCTTTTGCTGATATATATTTGAGAAGAACTGAAAATATAGGTATTTGAAAGAGAACTGAAAAAGATCCCCTACGCAAGAAAGAAGACAAAGAACTTTAAAACTTGATTGTTATTGTCCCAAAAGCTTGAATATTAAAGTTAGTCAGAATCACCACTCGACTCGGTCAATGACGTCATCGTTGAAGGACCACTCCAACTTCCGTCTTTTCAGAGAAGTTATAAAACTCCAAATAAACGCCTTGCAATATTATTGATTCAGTTAGTAGAGCGTCTAAAGCCAAAACGAAAACACTATCTCGGCCAGGGACTTGTCATTGATCGATACAAGGAACTGATAATCGTAGTAATATAAAACGAATCGGACATATTCAAAGCGGCGCGATTCTTTTTAGAACATTTTGCTCTAAAAAAGTAAAAAAATGGAACAGGCGTTACCTTCAGAAAAACATCGCGTTCATCCAACAGATGAGTCCTTAATGGTTAAGGATTGTAACTTTTTCCTGAGTCTCGCCGTGGTTGGTTTTGCTCTTGCTGCAGTGACTACATTAGGGAACAGCGCGTTGCTGTTGACAATTTTCAGGGACACTCGTCGCTTGCTTCAAACACCCCCGTCATTGCTGATCGCTAACCTGTGCGTTTCTGATTTAGTGCTTGGATTGATCTCCGGCAACCTTGTGGCAGTGAAAGATGTCTACCGATTCCAGCATTTGCCAGTTCCTCGCGAATTGGATCCAATCATTCGTTTGGTCCTTGGCTTGTCTTTGTTCGTCAGCAGCGGAACAATAATAGCACTGTCTTATGATCGCTACGTTGCTGTGATGCACCCTTTAAAGTACAGATCTACTGTTACAAGGACAAGAGTGAAGATCTGCATTGCCTTGATCTGGGTAGTCGCTGTGACCGTCTGCTTTCTCCCACTTACAAGTGTCCCAGAAAATATATTCAAGATTGTGTACGCTCATACTCACGCCTCGCTCCCGGCCTTACTGTTAACAGTCATGTACTTTAAAGTTTTCCGCGCTTTAGGGGAAAGAAAACGTGAATTGCGAGGCGCTGGCATCACATCGGAGATGAGGAGCAAAAAGGTTCTGGATCGCGAGCGAAACATGGTCGTGACAATTCTGTTAGTGCTGGCTTTGTTTTACGTGACAGTTTTACCTGAGTTCATTGCGTTACATCTCATGCAGTTCTGCGAGTCATGTAAGCAATCGCTGACATTTCTAAAGCTCGAGATTGTATTTTCACGGTTTCTTTTCCTGAACTCTGCATTGAACCCTTTCGTATATTCGTGGAGAGTACCGAAATATCGCCGAGCATTCACTTCTTGTTTTGTCAAATTGAGGTTTCAGTTTTGCAATGCGTTACCACGGAGCGCTACAGCTCAACGCAAGTCACGCAAGTGACGCAAGTGAACGTCTGATAGAATTTCCCTTGGTGTAACCTACACCGATGCGGTTAAAAAAAAATTGTACAGGCCAGTTTGTAGATGTTATTTTGTCAGGAGAATATATTTCGGGCTAAAATTCAGATATTGAAACTGAAGTATAATGAAAATTGTACATGGTTGTTCCTTGTAAATAATAAATAATATAATTTTCAACTGAAGAAGTACATTGTTGTGCTGACATGTTTATTTCTGTCGAAATATACCGCAGAAGTTCTGACATTACATTTCTAGTGTATATTACTAGCCCTGGGGTTCCCCTAATTATGGGGTAAGATTTCCTCTAGTTGCGGGGGAATGTTTATATTAGGGTGACAAGGGGGCGGTGGAGGCGTTAATTTCTTGAGGAGTTGGGGTTGTTACGTAGATAAGGGATACGGTCCATTTCTCGTGAAAAATGGAAGAGTGTTATACAGTTTCGTAGAACGCTATTTTGACGTCGACAGCAGAATGTCATCCCGTCGTTGGAAAAACTTGCGCCTTATTTAATACCCAAAATTGGTCAATTTGAAAAGTCTTAAACATCCCTCGCGGACCTGAACCTTTCGAAAAGGAGGTTGCGTTGGGGCCTCCCGAGACACATGTGTACTTCATAAAACAGCACATAATTATTAACTTGCTGTCCTTGGGCCTGCCATATACAACAGCACAAATGTAACCCAAATAGCAGCCTTACACATTGTTACACAGCAAAAAACTGAACACTAAACACTAGTCCCCTGCGTCACTATACTCTACTAAACATACGACACCACTGCTGCCTGCATGACACTTAACACCAACGTTTATATATGTGATTCAGTCAGTCAGTCAATCAGTCAGTCAGTCAGTCAGTCAGTCATGTCATGTCATGTCAGTTAGAAAGACGAATGAAAACGTTAATGAGAAATTACAAAGTTAACACCACAACATGGCCGCTCCGAACGCACAAGGTTCAATCAGTCAGTCGGGTTAGGGTGAGTCAGTGAGTAAGTAAGTCAAACTCATAGTATATCATTTACGTGTCAAGTACTTCTAACACGATAGGCCGTAATTGGAGTAACGATATAAACTAGAATTACTAAGAACTTGCACCAGCTACTGGAGTTAATAAAAATATTAATAAAATACTTCAACATGCACCAATGTTAAAGTGTTAAAAATTTGAAGCAAATGAATGCCATACAGTGGCCACAGTAGCAGCCCAGTGCATACAGTTATGTTCACAATTATGAGCTTATATACTATACTCTTCGATATACCATAAAGGCCATTAAAGTAAGAAAGGCCAAGCACACCGTACAGTTGGGATCTACATACGTTTTCCACTATTTTNAAAAAAATCATTTTAATTTTATGGAACTGCAATATTACTTTTTACAAAATTCTAGAGTTTATTCCGCCGTCTTAACAATATGTTTTACGATTCAGTGGAATTGTTCAGTGAAAGAAAATTGTTTGGTCATGTTTCGTGCCAGCTAAGCAAAATTGCAGCCAAATTTATTGATTACGAAAGGAATAAAGTCAACACGGTTAAATTTTTTTCGAGAAGGAATTTTTCTATGGAAACACTGACGTCGTTTCCCACCATAATCCCCAAAATAGTGTTACGGTCTACATGTTCAACTTTTCGTCTAGAAAGGAACGGGAAGATTTTTATGTACTCCTTACGCCGTTAAGTGAACCAAGCGAGTCACAGAGCGTTTAAACCGGAAGTTTGTTGATGACGCACTTCAACAACAATAGTAACGTAATGTACATCTGGACAAATTAAATTTACATTTCCCGACTTCCGTCGACGATAGTCACGGTAATAAATAAAGTCGATAACAGACCTTTATTCTGAAAGAAAGCACTCTGTAAAGTTTTATGCGCGCTATATCATGTGAATTTGATTGTGGCAGTGAAGACTGTTTTCATGTCAAAACGTGTCCGTATTCTGAGAAAAATACCTGTGGTTAAACCGGAAGTGGACCAGTTTCTAATGGAATCGAAGCGATATATCCAGTTTCCTCTTTTGCTGATATATATTTGAGAAGAACTGAAAATATAGGTATTTGAAAGAGAACTGAAAAAGATCCCCTACGCAAGAAAGAAGACAAAGAACTTTAAAACTTGATTGTTATTGTCCCAAAAGCTTGAATATTAAAGTTAGTCAGAATCACCACTCGACTCGGTCAATGACGTCATCGTTGAAGGACCACTCCAACTTCCGTCTTTTCAGAGAAGTTATAAAACTCCAAATAAACGCCTTGCAATATTATTGATTCAGTTAGTAGAGCGTCTAAAGCCAAAACGAAAACACTATCTCGGCCAGGGACTTGTCATTGATCGATACAAGGAACTGATAATCGTAGTAATATAAAACGAATCGGACATATTCAAAGCGGCGCGATTCTTTTTAGAACATTTTGCTCTAAAAAAGTAAAAAAATGGAACAGGCGTTACCTTCAGAAAAACATCGCGTTCATCCAACAGATGAGTCCTTAATGGTTAAGGATTGTAACTTTTTCCTGAGTCTCGCCGTGGTTGGTTTTGCTCTTGCTGCAGTGACTACATTAGGGAACAGCGCGTTGCTGTTGACAATTTTCAGGGACACTCGTCGCTTGCTTCAAACACCCCCGTCATTGCTGATCGCTAACCTGTGCGTTTCTGATTTAGTGCTTGGATTGATCTCCGGCAACCTTGTGGCAGTGAAAGATGTCTACCGATTCCAGCATTTGCCAGTTCCTCGCGAATTGGATCCAATCATTCGTTTGGTCCTTGGCTTGTCTTTGTTCGTCAGCAGCGGAACAATAATAGCACTGTCTTATGATCGCTACGTTGCTGTGATGCACCCTTTAAAGTACAGATCTACTGTTACAAGGACAAGAGTGAAGATCTGCATTGCCTTGATCTGGGTAGTCGCTGTGACCGTCTGCTTTCTCCCACTTACAAGTGTCCCAGAAAATATATTCAAGATTGTGTACGCTCATACTCACGCCTCGCTCCCGGCCTTACTGTTAACAGTCATGTACTTTAAAGTTTTCCGCGCTTTAGGGGAAAGAAAACGTGAATTGCGAGGCGCTGGCATCACATCGGAGATGAGGAGCAAAAAGGTTCTGGATCGCGAGCGAAACATGGTCGTGACAATTCTGTTAGTGCTGGCTTTGTTTTACGTGACAGTTTTACCTGAGTTCATTGCGTTACATCTCATGCAGTTCTGCGAGTCATGTAAGCAATCGCTGACATTTCTAAAGCTCGAGATTGTATTTTCACGGTTTCTTTTCCTGAACTCTGCATTGAACCCTTTCGTATATTCGTGGAGAGTACCGAAATATCGCCGAGCATTCACTTCTTGTTTTGTCAAATTGAGGTTTCAGTTTTGCAATGCGTTACCACGGAGCGCTACAGCTCAACGCAAGTCACGCAAGTGACGCAAGTGAACGTCTGATAGAATTTCCCTTGGTGTAACCTACACCGATGCGGTTAAAAAAAAATTGTACAGGCCAGTTTGTAGATGTTATTTTGTCAGGAGAATATATTTCGGGCTAAAATTCAGATATTGAAACTGAAGTATAATGAAAATTGTACATGGTTGTTCCTTGTAAATAATAAATAATATAATTTTCAACTGAAGAAGTACATTGTTGTGCTGACATGTTTATTTCTGTCGAAATATACCGCAGAAGTTCTGACATTACATTTCTAGTGTATATTACTAGCCCTGGGGTTCCCCTAATTATGGGGTAAGATTTCCTCTAGTTGCGGGGGAATGTTTATATTAGGGTGACAAGGGGGCGGTGGAGGCGTTAATTTCTTGAGGAGTTGGGGTTGTTACGTAGATAAGGGATACGGTCCATTTCTCGTGAAAAATGGAAGAGTGTTATACAGTTTCGTAGAACGCTATTTTGACGTCGACAGCAGAATGTCATCCCGTCGTTGGAAAAACTTGCGCCTTATTTAATACCCAAAATTGGTCAATTTGAAAAGTCTTAAACATCCCTCGCGGACCTGAACCTTTCGAAAAGGAGGTTGCGTTGGGGCCTCCCGAGACACATGTGTACTTCATAAAACAGCACATAATTATTAACTTGCTGTCCTTGGGCCTGCCATATACAACAGCACAAATGTAACCCAAATAGCAGCCTTACACATTGTTACACAGCAAAAAACTGAACACTAAACACTAGTCCCCTGCGTCACTATACTCTACTAAACATACGACACCACTGCTGCCTGCATGACACTTAACACCAACGTTTATATATGTGATTCAGTCAGTCAGTCAATCAGTCAGTCAGTCAGTCAGTCAGTCATGTCATGTCATGTCATGTCATGTCATGTCAGTTAGAAAGACGAATGAAAACGTTAATGAGAAATTACAAAGTTAACACCACAACATGGCCGCTCCGAACGCACAAGGTTCAATCAGTCAGTCGGGTTAGGGTGAGTCAGTGAGTAAGTAAGTCAAACTCATAGTATATCATTTACGTGTCAAGTACTTCTAACACGATAGGCCGTAATTGGAGTAACGATATAAACTAGAATTACTAAGAACTTGCACCAGCTACTGGAGTTAATAAAAATATTAATAAAATACTTCAACATGCACCAATGTTAAAGTGTTAAAAATTTGAAGCAAATGAATGCCATACAGTGGCCACAGTAGCAGCCCAGTGCATACAGTTATGTTCACAATTATGAGCTTATATACTATACTCTTCGATATACCATAAAGGCCATTAAAGTAAGAAAGGCCAAGCACACCGTACAGTTGGGATCTACATACGTTTTCCACTATTTTCTCAGGCAACGCCTGCCGACTTCAGGGAATTATGAAAGTCAGGAGCCCATTATGGGCTCCTGTAAAATTAAACCTTGTTCTATTGACCTCAAAATAACCCGACAAAAATAATATAAGACTACATGCAAAACAAGAAAATAGTTTCCTCAGATTTGGCTTCCAAAATCGGTAATTTAAACATATTCCAGGCGATTTTAGGCCAAAACTCAGTGCACCTCGGCCTCTGCCCCAAACAAAAAGGGGGCAAATTATCCCAGCCCCTCCCTACCCAACAACAGCCGTTCTTCTATTTCCGCCTGCAATACACCAGCGGCTGCGCGTTCCATTGTCAAAATGGCGGTTTCTTTGTATCAAGTTCGTTTCTTTGATGGTAAAGCGACAAAGGAAAACCGTTGTTTCTTCATAAGCTAAAATACCAGTTTGTGAGATCTCCATGCGGATAATTCTGTGTGGAAAAAATACTTTCTGCAAAAAGAGGTGAGTCTTTATTTGCCATTAGCATTCATCCCTGTAGTAAGCTAGAACTTCGCTGAAAAAGAAAAGATTAGCCAGCGATTGTTGAATTTGACCTACTTGCGTTTTCTAAGCAGCTGTGAGGAGTTTTATCGGCCTCCACGAATTAAATACAACTCATTGAACTGTAAAAGCTTATGATTCGTAAGGTACATTACATGTACATATTACGTAAGCGTAAGGCCAGTTACAGAGAGACAGCTTAGTAAGCTGAAAGATAAAATAAGACAGTTTGGGGAGATGGGCTGTTATTTCAAATCGTATGTAAACATGGCTGGAGCTGATGTACTTCCCGAAGGCTTACATGGCTGGTTTTACCAGGAAAATTAGACATGTCAAAAGAATGTTTGCTGGCTGAGAGGGTCTTTTTTGAGTGCGACAATAAAATGACTGTGAAATGGTGAGCTCATGAAAATACTTGTTACTCTAACAATTAATTTTGTTTCAACAGGTGTTATTTATGAAAGTCCCAGAAAAAAGAGAGAAACTACAGGTAGTGTTATGTTTATTAATTAGAATACGATATACACTGAAACAAATCTGATCAAGAAGAGGAAACATCAAACCTGTTCAAGTTGACTAGAGTAGTGCGATGTTGTCACGCATGAAGAAAAAGGTCTTCAAATGTATAGAATGCGACCAAGATTTCTCACGAGCTTCAAACCTCCGAGTCCACAAAAGAACACATGCTGGTGAAAAACCTTATCAGTGCTCAGAGTGTGGGGTTTGCTTTAGGATTTCAACCCACCTAACAGTGCACAAAAGGTCACATACTGGAGAAAAACCATACAGTTGTCTGTTTTGTGACAAGCGTTTCTCTGCGTCATCAAATTGCAAGAGACATCAATGGAGGCATACTGGCGAGAAGCCTTATAAATGTTCCGAGTGTGGTAACGGTTTCACAGATCCATCGCAAACATCAAAAAGCTCATTTTGGTATTAAAGAATTTAAATGTATGCAGTGTGAAAAGTGCTTTGTCACGGCACCTGAACTGAAAAGACACAACAGAATTCACACTGGTGAAAAGCCTTTTAAATGCACTTGGTGCGACAAATGTTTCGCAGATTCTTCTAATCTTCATCAACATCAAAGAACACACATTAAAGTTACACCACATCCACTTGCTGGATCAATGCAGGCTCAAGTGCATAGTTCAGGAAAAGCCGGTGAAAAATTATATAGTTGCAATGAATGTGGAAAGGCTTTTAGACTTGTCTGATCTCAAGAGACACAAACAGATTCACACAGATGAAAGACCCTTTTCTTGTTTGCAGTGTGGGAAGTGCTTTCGACTTGCTTCAGATCTGAAAAGACATCAGCTAACTCACTCCAACAAATGTTTGTAGTCAGTGTGAGAAATGTTTTAGACTTCCTTCACAGCTTCGGAGTCACCAAAAGACACATACTAGTGCCAAACCCTGCAAGTGCACTGAGTGTGGAAGGACTTTCAAACATGCCCCACATCTCTTGAGATGCAAAGAAGCAAACAGTGGAGGAAAGTGTTCCAGTCGTGATCAATCATTTCAATGTCAAAGTGGTTGTGATCAAAATGAACAAAGTCACAATGGTGACAGACCTTTTCAATGTTCCCAATGTGAAAAGGCGACTGCACTTTCATCAGACTTGCAAGGACAAGCTGCCACAAAGAGTGGCAAGAGGTCCCATCAGTGTAGTTATTGTAGTAAAAATTTTGCTCAAGGATCACGACTTAGGAGACATGAAAGCACTCACACAGGTGTGAAGCCTTATAAATGTAACCAGTGTAATAAGTGTTTTGGAGACTCATCACATCTCAAGCGGCATACAGCCAGACATACTGTGGAGAAACCCTTTAAGTGTTCCGAGGGCAACAAGTGTTTTCGCACCTCTGAAGATAATAATCAACATGAACTAACTCACTCAAATGAAAGGGCCCAGCTTCAGCAAGGAAGTTCAAGGAAAAAATGGGATACTGAATCACATAATGAAGGTCAAGGTAAGGGTTACCAGACAGAGTCAAAAGTTGACACAAACCACACAGAACATGATTCCTGCAGTCCTGAAGATCATATATTATGTAATAATGAATAGACTGATGCTGTTGAGAAACCTTGTTCTGAACAATCACTGGCCCAGATGGAGCATGAGTTAGCAAGTAATGAAGAAGATTTGTGCTACAGCTCACAGCCAAATGTTGATAGTGAAAATATAGAGCAAGGTTCTTGTACTTCAGAAGATCACAGTAAGCATGAGCAATGTGACAAGTGAGAAAACTTGTACAGAGAGACAGCTTCCAAGTACATGTGGTAAATCTATGATGCAAGGTGTTTGTTTGCAGTCAGAACCAAATGCTGAAAATGAAGTAAGAACAGAAGATTTTCATTCCTCAGAAATGACTTCAGGGCATTACAATAAACATGAACAAACAGGTGTCAGAGAGAAAGATTGCACTGAGCAATCAGCAGACACAAGAGAACATGATCTTTCAAGTGATGAAGAGTAAGGAACATGTTACCAGTCAGTGCCAATTTATGACTAGACCATGGGCAGCTCAGGAGATAATACATACATACTTCATTAAATTATACTCGATGAATTGGAGCTTATTAGGCTCCTAGCTTAAATAGCTAATACTCTGAGTTTAAAATTACCTGTCAGTGAGAAGCATCATTCTAAACACTCAACAGTCACCAGATGAAGCAGAGCATGACCTTGCTAGTGAGGTGAATGTTGACAATGTAAACAAATAACACCGTTAGGTTTTCATACCTCAGAACATTCTAAATTTAATCACATGAGCAAACTTTAAATATAGTGTCAGAGAGAGTAGCATAAGTACTAAGCTACTACATGTCACAGAATCACAGAAACTGGTCATGAGTTTCTGTAAAGTGCCGACATTTTAGTAATGAACTGCTAGAAGCATTTTAATATTATTTTGGAAAATCCACTTTAATATTGTAATGACATGAAATCAATTTTCACAAATACTCTGTCATTGGCCTCTGTTCAATCCATGTTTATTTTTAATTATTATTTAATAACTTTTAAATTATACTGTTACAAAAATTAGATTTTTTGGTAGAGAAAAACAATAAAATTGATAATTTTTTGTAAGAAAAAATAGCAGGAGAATGCTATTATTTTCATTGCTTACATTGTTCTTACTAGTGACTATTAAGTGTGTTTTTTTT